CAACAACCCAGTATAATCCCACTAGTGGGGTCTAGGGAGGGTAGTGTGTACGCAGACCTTACCCCTACCCTGGGGTAGAGAGGCTGTTTCCAAATGACCCTCGGTATCCTTCCCTCCAAGAACTCCCCACCTTGCTCTTGGGGTGACTCGAACTCACAACCTCTTGGATGGAAGTGGAGGGTGCTTACCATCAGAACAACCCACCTTGTCCAATTATATGACTAATCTCGTACTTAGTCATATACATTCACTGCATATCATATCTTAGTCTTTGTTGTTATTTATTGATACATCATATCATTATTTTGGGCTAGTTTCATGACATTGTGAGCCCGAGAGACTGGAGAGATTGATGAATGAGTGAGGTCGAGGGCCTGATTGTGAGGTTATTGATACTATGGCACGTGAGTTATTCGTGCAACACGTGAGTTGTCCGTGCGAATCCAGATATTGATACTATGGCACGCGAGTTGTCCGTGCAGCACATGAGTTGTCCGTGCGGATTCATGCCATGATTGGCTCATTATAGCACTTAAGATGAAGGAGCCCCTTCGGAGTCTGCACACCCACAATGAGCTCAGGTACCTATTAAGTGCAAGTACGAGTGCCGAGTGATTGGGAGGACTGAGTGGATTGATACTCCTAGAGTATGCATATGGTTATTCACTATGTTGTACTACATTCGACATGCACACTTGACATACATGCATAAAGATGCATTTTTCCTCATGTTATACGGTATCACGTCATTCGTGACTTCTCATACACATTGACATGTAGGGATGGAGATGTACCTTTTCCTCATGCCATCTAATAATGAAACATTTACGTGTTGAAAAGTTTTGGAAAGAAATTCACGATTTTACAAACTTACTCAAATTTGGTGCTTTCGGTAAAAAGATATGGATTTTCAGTGTTAAACTTGAAAAACATGCCTATTTTCCGGAACTGTGAATGAGTTGAACATTATATCTGTAACGACCCGGCCAATCGTTTTGAGAATTAGAGCCTCGATCCCCTAATATCTGCTTTTCCCATATTTGTTTCTACTTTTGGGACTTGCCGAAGTGATTGGTTATGGAATTCAGAGAGTTTTGGGACACTTAGTCTATAGTTATGAGTTTAAGCCTTAGAGTTTGGACCGTAGTCGGAACTGTGAAGATGGATCCGGAATGGAATTTCGTTGACTTAGTTAGCTCCGTTGAGTGATTTTGGGGTTAGGAGCGCGTCCGGAATGTGTTTTGGAGGTCTATAGTAGATTTAGGCTTGAATTGGCGAAAGTTAGTTTTTCGGCGATTTCGGCCGATAGTGGAAATTTTGATATCGACCTTGAAATGGAATTTCGAAAGTGGATGTAGGTTCGTAGTGTCAATTGTGACCTGTGTGTAAATTTTGAGGTCATTCGGACTAGATTTGATGTGGTTCGGCGTCGTTTGTAGCATTTGAAAAATTTTAAATTCTTAGGCTTGAATCCGTGCTTAATTCATGATTTTGGTGTTGTTCGACGTGGTTTGAAGGCTCGACTAAGTTCATATGGTATTTTAGGATTGGTTGGTATGTTTGATTGAGGTCCCGAAGGCCTCGGGTGTGTTTCGGATGCTTAACGGGAAAAAATTTGGACTTAGGAAAATCTGGTGCATTGCTGGTTCTGGTGTTTCGCACCTGCGGAGGGGAGTACGCAGGTGCGCTTGAGTGTTCGCAGATGCGAAAATGGACAGGGCATGCTGGGCTCGCAGGTGCGGCTGGTCGTCCGCAGAAGTGGAGCCGCAGATGCAGCCCAGGGGTCGCAGATGCGGACCCATCCCAATAAGTGACTTCCGTACCTGCGTTGATTGTTCCGCAGGTGCGAGACCGCAGATGCGGCCCCATGAGAGCAGATACGAAAATCGCTGGGCAGAAAAGGGAATTTCGAGGGTTTGAAATTTCATAACACAAAATTCGATTTGGAGCTCGGTGGGAGACGATTTCTCGAGGGATTTTGAAGGAGAACTATTGGGTACCGAATTCTAACTCTACTTTGATCATAATACAATAATCTATTGTTGTTTTCCTAGTCTAATTAAGGAATTTGAGGGTAAAAGTTTGGAAATCGGGGAAAAGGTTCCCCAATTGAAAATCTGAGATTTGAATGGGAATTTGACGTCAGATTTAGATGATTTTTGTTCGAATGAACTCGTGAGTGAATGAGTGTTCATAATTTATAATTTTTACCCGATTACGAGACGCGGGCCCGGGGAGACTTTTTGGACGTTTTTCCTAAATTCACGTTTTAGTTTCGAATTAATTAGTTAAATTAGTTACTTGTAGTTATATTTACATTATGCAATTACTTTGAATAGATTCGGGCCATTTGGAGTCGGATACTCGTGGCAAGAACGTGATATCGAGTTGATTTGAGCGGTTCGAGATAAGTGGCTTGCCTACCCTTGTATTGGGGACTTTCCTATTAGGATATTTCGATATTATTTGGTGTGTGAGCGTCGTGTACGTGAGGTGACGAGTGCGTACATGGGCTGTTATTGCAAAAATCCCGTTTATCCCCTTTAAATCATAAATTATTTCTCCTATTAAATTGCACTAATATGCTTAATTGTTTAGTTTAGACTAGAAAAGCATGCTTACGTGTTTTAAATACCTATTTGACATTTTGTGCGCCATATCTAATTAAATCCCTATTTTTCCTTATCTGTGTTCAGTATAAACTGTATAACTCGATGTCTTACCTGCCATTTCATCTTGCGTTGTATATTTAAATTGGGACTACGGACGTATTCCGGGAGATTCCCCTGTCTTGTATATTTACTTTGGGACTACGGACATATTCCGGGAGATCCCCCAGCACTGCATATTTACTTTGGGACTACAGGCGTATTCCAGGAGATCCCCCAACAATGCATATTTACTTTGGGACTACGGACGTATTTCGGGAGATCCCCCAGCACTGCATATTTACTTTGGAACTACGGACGTATTCCGGGAGATCCCCCTGTACTGCATATTCATTCGAAACTATGGGAGATTTTCCACCGTGTTTACCTTGTTATGAGCCGAGGGATCCCTTAACTGTTAAATTTTTTTTTTGAGAATCTCTTTAACTGTGTTGCCATAAATTTTACTTATATCTTTTACTGTTTAATTTATTATATTTACTCCGGTAGGGCCTTGACCTGACCTCGTCACTACTCGACCGAGGTTAGGCGTGACACTTACTGGGTACCATTGTGGTGTACTCCCTCGCCTATAGACTTTCTTTATTATCTTCAGACTTTTGTATAGAGCTACATAGATTATAGCAGCTTGTGACTTAGTGATATTCTGGGTCTTGGGAAACTATTTTGTATATGTCGAGTGGTACTACTCTTGGCTATTCATAATATGCTGTGTTATCTTAAAAATGTTGTGTTTTCTTTATATTTTTTGTAATATTAGGCTTACCTAGTCGTAAAGACTAGGTGCCATCACGACAACTTACGGAGGGTTAGTTTGGGTCGTGACAATATCTCCGAGCTATTTCATGTACCACTTTTATTATATTGTTATGAGTTGTTTGTTGGCTATTGGTGTTGGATTCTTACTCTTGTCCCAACTCGTCACTACTTTCAACCTAAGGTTAGATTTGTTACTTATTGAATACATGGGGTCGGTTGTACTCGTACTGCATTTCTGCACCTTGCGTGCAGATGTTGGATGCCAATGTAGCTGCGTACTGCGGGAGTTGGATCTGAAGATGTACCTGCATTCCAGTCATAACTGCCTCTTGATCTTGGTAGCTTTAGTATTTCAGATCTGTTTATGTATATTTCAAACAGATGATGTAATTTATTTTAAACCATCTTTGTAAACTCTATATCTTAGAAGCTCATGATTTGTACTACCAGTTCTTGAGAAATTCTTGTATAAAAACAGTTGTGTTATCATTTCTTTTCTTAATAAATCTCATTAAATTCGATAGTTGTTAATTGGCTTACCTAACGAGTTGGGTTAGGTGTCATCACGACTAGTTGGATTTAGTGCACTTCCAATAGTCCTTGAACTTTTCTGGGTGGGCATGATTAGCTCTTTTTCAGGTTAACAACTTATGTTATTTTACTTTTGGTAAGTTTGATGCAATTCAATTTCTGTAATAACCTGAAGTATCAAAATTGTTGTTGCGAGATTGGGTCTATTCATTTGCTCTATATTTGACTTTTAAATTGTTCTTCCCCGACTTTACTACTTTTATAAAAATTTCTTTCTTGACGATATCTGTATATATGAAAACTTTTACTTTCATAATGTTCTCTATCTGTACATGTTGTATTTTATGATCAGTGACAGCTTCCATCAATATGACTTTTTGCTTTCCTTTACTTTGTTTTTCTAGTTATTTGATATTTTCGTTGTTTACTTAACATGATGGATTTAAACTACAACTACTGATGCAACTAAGGCGCTCGATGTTATGCCTGCCACAACTGAACAATTTAACAATTTGATTGGTCAGTGAAATTGTAAAACAAGTGAAAATGATACATCCCTTGAAAAGGATACAGACTTTAATGTCATATCGGATCTGGCAATAACCAAGAAATAAGAAATTCATGACGGTTCCATTTAGTTAAATACAATAGTAGATGAAGAAGGTGCATAAGCTTCAGTTTTACTTTTTTGTTGTAAGATTCTTATCTCCTAAAGAATTCTTCCCAAATATTTGATTCTAAGTTTTCGATTTCTTTTGAGGGAAACATAGTCAATTTCTGGTTATGTGGTTGTTTTTTTGCGTAATACTTTTGAAGTAGAGCTTTTTGTTTAAATTCATAGAAAATATGTGTGGTTATACAAGTAATTAAGTCTAAGATAAATAGTTGGTTAGAGTATATTTGTATCTGTCCCTTCTATATCATGTGCGTGATTCCTGTGGATTTGATAAATGGTTGTTAACTCTTCATGTTTGAAGAAAAGTTCAACCTATTTGTGTTAAGCACTAATAAAATTAATTAGAAAGAATTAATTTTATAGTGTTAAGTATAAGAATGATTCTTACCTTTTCCATGTTAACAATTTTCATATACCAACAAGGCTTGGAAGCATTAAAGTGCATCAACCCCATGTTTGAGTTTCTCTTTTCAGCAACGAAGCAATAAGTTACAGGAGGAACAAAAGCGTAGCTTGGAGAGAAACACATAATTCCAATCATACATGTTCATATTTGTTTGGTTAAATGCACACATTTAGATTAATTGGGTTTGACTTTGATAAATAAAAAACTGAGATTGATGAAATACTTGGCATATATATAAGTGAGGGCAGGGTGTACGAACACTACATTAAATTATTGTACACATAGTAATCGAGATTGTACTGTGGATTTGGACCTTTGTCATTGGCGATTGAATTTATTTATCCTCGGGGGTGGACAAGCGATTCTAATTTTTGCAATCATATATTTCTCTTCCTTGGACGACACATGTCTACTTATTTGGGATATCTGGCCTGCACTTCTCTTCTATTTCCCGATCTCTTTCTTTCTTCTTACTCTGTGGTTTCTGTTTCTGTTACTTTTCTCTCTGAAAAAGAGTTGCTACATGCTGTTTTTGAAAAATTGGTCGGCACACACGTGTGTATCGCACCTCCAAAATTCAGGACGACTCCTATGAGCACTGCTTCGGTTTTCACAGTCTTGCAGTATTGCTATTGATAAATTCTTTTGAATATAAATTTTAGCTAATTTCTATTACATGTTAGTAATCATACCTGATTTACACGTGCATTGTCTCTTTGATGTATTTTGTCTTTGTTACCAAAACTTCAAGGTATCAGAAGTGACTGTAATTTTGAAATGGAGCTTGCAGCCATGGTATTTGATGATATGTCTAAGTCATCTTATCGGGAGTATACTGTTGTGTCCACCTCCTATTTTGGATGCAGACAGTGAAATCTCTAGGAGCAACTGAGCAAGAAATCTTCCAGAAAAAAGTCAATTTATCTTAATTTGATCACTGTGGGGCTACTATTCAAGACTTAAGGTCACCATTTGGTTGTTACCGTCGTCCACACACTAAAGATGCAAGGTATGATTTTAAGTTACATGTTATTGATATATTCTTTTTTTTGCTTTATTTGGTAGGCTGTTCTACCTTTTTTTTTTTTTTTTTTTTTTTTTTTTTTTTTTTTTTTTGAAATTGCAGAATAGTAAGAGTGCACGAATCATCTGGTGTGGCTTTGTCCACTACCGTCTACCGTTATTCAGTGATTCATTTGCGTTAAGCTTCTTCCAGATTAAGTGTTAATGGAGAATGTGGGTCCATCAAATTTCTTTTTCAAGTTTGTTTAATTGGAAGGTTTCTTCCATACCATCATATTTAACTCTTGGTTTATATTTATGTACAGTGAATGTACTTCTGCATAGGGTGGTAATAGCATAAAGAGAAGCTTAGCTAACATAGCTGGGTGACCATATGCGATATAAAGTCTCTTGGCCTTGTACATTCTGTAAATTGCCTTTTCACGTTTCCTATGTGTTATTTCGAGCTTAAACTTTTTCTCATGCTCATATCTCAAGGATGTACTTGAGGTTCCTTAGAATAGTTTTCAGGATTTTATCTTTTGCTGACTCATGAGTATAACAATGATTGCTTTTAACAAATTCTGGCAACATTTATAATAGTGACTTTTTGGTGTTTACAGAGCATTTTTTCTTTGATGTAGTTGGAAATCAAAAAAGTTATATATGTTTGTAAAGTAGACAAAGAAAAATTGTCATTTTTTAGCTTTCTTCAGTTGGAGCAGCCTATGGAGCAACTCTGCCATTTGATGTGTGAAAGAAAGGAGAAAACAGTAAATCACATACTTCTTCACTGTGAGATGGCTAAGAGATCTAGAACATGGTGACATCATTTGGAATGACACTACTCCTAAAGTGATTTTCTCTACTTTAAAGGGAGTAATGTAATTATCCAATTACCTTTTCCTCTTTCATTTGATATTTGGAAGTTCTAATATCTAGAGTGTGCCTCAATTCTTATGAAATTTTAAATACCTTTGTAGGTCATGGCTTATTTGATTTTAAATCCTATGGCAGGAAAGTTGACGTTCAATGCTGATGGAGCATGAAAGCAACTCTATAGGTGGCTTTGGTGCACTGTCTGAAAAAAGCTTCTGATGTTTGTGAGAGAGAGAATTAAAGGAAACATAAGTTAATAGCTTATAATCCCTTGGATATATAGTTTAACTCTATAAGTCTTTTGGTTTGCTGAATTCCTTGAATGAGTAGTGGAACTTTAATAGTGTTTAATAAGTACAGTTCACAAGAGCAAATTAGTGTTGTTCAACAACTATACTCTAAAATTTGTTGTGATTTTAAGCTTGTGTAGCTTAAAGAAGGTGAATGAGAAATGGAGGGAAAATAAAATATTTGAGTTTTCCTTGGGAAAGGGACATTGTCCCATATCGGAGGAAGAAAACGCTTTTGATGGGTATATATATAATTGCTCTTCTTCTAGCTCTTAAAGAGTTAAGAAAAAGACAAGACTCGCGCCGCCATCGTCGCTCGCTCGGCTCGGCTTCGGTTTCGGATTTGGTCAAAGATTGATTGATTAATCTTTTTGGACAAAATTCCTTTCAATTATTTAATTAAATAATTAACGAAAAATTCAATCTGAACTAACCCATGACCCGCGACCCGGTTCGGTCAGACCCGTTTTCTTTCCCGGATTATTTTAAATATATTTTTCTCGCAATACTTCAAACACCCCTTTTCCAAACAGCCATGGCTGTTTCTGAAAGGTTACAAACCTTTTCAGAAATAATGTCAGCAACTCTATAAATAGAGTTTGAATCCTAGAATCTTTCCTTACGAAATTTTCTGAGCTTCTTCTTCTTCTTCTTCTGCACAATATTTTCCAGTGTGTTTTACGATCATTGAGTAGTTGGCAGTTCATCAGAGTTTTTGGTACCAATACACTGGTGAGTTAAATCGTTCTATCCTGGGAGGATATATTCCAGCACTTCGGGTACTTGAGGGGAATAATTTCCTTAAGGACACATTGTGTATTCAGTGGGCTCGATTTATTCCTATACTGTTTTCTGTTTTCCAGAATCTATTTCGTTAAACAAGTATTACTAACTTTCTGTTTTGTTTTTTCAGAAAGTTTAATTGTTTATTACAGCAATACAGAATTATAACAAAATTCTCTTCTTATACAAATATGATGTTGTGAACATTCGTGTCTACTGCATTCAAACTTTTGCTCTTACTTTGCCAGCAACATTTCGAGACTTCAAATTTCTCCATATTATTTGTTCCTGATTCTGCTGTTCTCTCAAGTTTTTCTCAAAGTGTTCCTAAAACGTTGAATATGCACAGGATGTTGAGCCCGTGCTAAACAATTCTAGTTTGCTACTAAGCTCAAGTTTTTTCCTTTCGATGAAATTGTAAAGTTAAGTTTGGGCTAACATAACTCAGATTTTTCATGTGTTTTACCCATTTATATTATATTTGGATTTTACTATCTATTTTTATTATGAAAATAATTTTCTGCACCATTTCGAATCCGGACTCTGTTAAAAGTCTCTCTGCTAAGTATTGAATAATGTTACTTACCAAATCTAAGTAATTAACTAATAAGCTCCAAGTCATACAAGTGGATTTACAATTACAAGATACTTAAAACTAAGCCGACCAAATTCATTATCATCGCTAGGAAAAAAAAATATAACTCATTAGATCTTCAATAAAACACAAGTTATGCAATTTACTGCCTTCATGTTCAAAAGTTTCAAAACTATCAAATTTTAGGAACCACCCACTAAATCTTAAAATGTACGTGGAAAGAAAATACATTTTTATATTTGAGAAAAAAGTCAAAATGGCTCGTATACTATTCAAATTGAGCAATTTTGTCATCTATTACACTTTTAATCTCATCATACCTCCATCGTTAAGAAATGGTTCCCTTCTCACGAACGATGGAGTTTTTTAATGGATCCAAAATGGAGGGTAAACTAGATCATTTTGTATATCATATACATTAAACCTTTCTATAGCAACATCTCTATATAACAACACTTCACTATAAAAGTCAAGCTTTTTCAGAACTAATTTTCATGTTATGTTATAATATATATTCTATATAACGGCACTTCGCTATAACATCCAAAAATATTCGGAACAAATGAGGATGTTATAGAGAGGTTTGACTGTATATAATTTTGACTATTTTCCTATGTTTAAATAAAATTAACTATTTATAACTACTTTGACGTTTCTTTCATTATTCCAGAAATACATAAATCAAGTCAACTTGTGAAAATTGGTGCCTCGGCAAGATGTAAAATGGTACAACCGAAATTCTCGATTTTTTAAGCTAATAGTATGAAATTTGAAGATTTCAACATGCTCATCTTTATTAATAGAAGAACTACACGTTGAAAAGAAAAAATTTCTACACTATCAAGATAAAGTTAAACTAACTGTTTGAGAGGATCTAAATAATTTCTTATTGTAAAACATAATCGCAACTTAAGCAAATTAAACAAAGACATTGTGATGGGGTATAAAATGCCAAAAACATACTAAGAGCCCCTTTTAAAAACTTAATGACTAAAATATTCTCTTTTATTGAAAATGATAAAATATGCTCCTTTTAAAGATTTTATTACCTGAATGCCTCTACCTTGTTTTGCCCGAGCTCCACCAAAGCCCTCCCTTTTTTTTTTGTTTTCCTTATCTTTTTTTGTTTATTCACTTTTTGGTCCCTTTTCCTTTCTTTTATCTTTTTTTCTATTTTGTTGTTATTTTTTCACTTTATTTCTTCTTTCTAATAAAATATTGCACTCCTTTTTAATTTTTTGTTTTTTTTTTGTTTTTTCTAGTAACAATCACTCACTCTTTTTCACTTTATTTTTTTCTTGTTTCAATTTATTATGATTTGTTGTTGTATTTATTTTATTTTTTAATTTTGTCCTTTTCAGTAAAATATCTTCGTCCAAAATATTTGTCATTTTTTTTGTTTTTACCTTTTTGTAATAAATTCTGCTCTCATTTTAGTTTTTTTTTTAATTTTTCTTTTTCTTTTTTGTAGTTACTTTTTATTTTAAATTTTTTGGCTCTTTTCAGTAACAATCCCTCGCTCTTCTTCACTTTATTTTTTTTATCTTATTCTTTATTGAATTTTATTCTTTAAGTAAAATCTCTTCGTCAGAAATATATCTCATTATTTTCCCTTATTATATTATTTTTCATCTTAGTTTTTCAGTTATTTTTTCAGTAAAATTCCTCCGTCAAAATTTTTATCACTGTATTCCAGTTTTATTTTGCTTTTGTGCTTTCTAGATAAATAACCGAGTTCCAAAATTAGTATTGGGACACTTTCTATACAATCATTAATCGATTATAATTATCAAGAGTTACCATGTCACTCATTTTAGTTTTATTTTTGAATTTTTAAATTTATATTTGTAGATATTTTTTTAATTTGTGAGAAAATTTAGGTTTTTTTATAATAAAAAAGTTGCCAATATTTTTAACTTTTTTTTGTTCGTTATAATTAAATCGGCGAATAATTTGATATACTACACTAATCATGGTATACCAATATGTAGTATATCAAGAATATGAGATATCATGATTCAATAGTAATTATGGTATACCAATGTGTAGTAAACCAAGATTGATGAGTATACCATTTGATATCTGTACTCAAATAAAGTATACTATAATTCAATACTAACATGGTATACCAATGCATATTATACCAAGAATATTGGGTATACAATTTTTTTTGGTTAGAAACTAAAATTTTATAAATCAAAGTATCAATATACACCACTTGCTCATTGGATTCTAGAGTCAAGTCCATTAAAGAATAACCAAATAAAACGACTATGTCTTCGTACTGTCACTGACTAGCTATTGTACGTCTCACCTTCTAGGAAGGGTCTAAGCATAATAGTTGCCTCCAATGGCTAGAACATTAGCATGGGTAACTATTTAGCCTCTCTAAGATTTACTTCCATTTATTCTATCGATGCCTTACAATATGTACTTGTAGTGCTATTTGTCTGAGTCTGTCACAGATCTCTCGCCTGGTTTGCTGGAATCTCTTGTTGATTCTCTCTACCAAGATGTGATATACTGCTGTCATAAATAATAAGTTGAGAGGAAGTTAATGAGGAAGATGCATCATAGGAAAAAATATTTGGCTAAAATAGTCAATAACAGAATTGCTTAGTTTATTTACAGCTTGTTTGGATGGTTGTTACTTATTGTATTGTATCGTATTTTTTAAATGATGTTTGTTTTTATTGTTACTTAAATTTTAATGTATCGTATCGTTAAATTCGTCGTATAGAATAATTATTTTGATACAGGTGAAATTTATTTATTAAACTGTATGAAATTTCTGTTGCAGGAAAATTCTACATTATTATTCAGGTGAAATCATTCTTTAAATTCATTCAGAGTTTGAGGAGCATCCTAGTCGGTTCCTAAAATTCTAAGTTTAACAGCAAAAATATTAAAGCAACAATTGAGCTCGAGTATAAGAAAATTAACAAGTTAAAGCATACAAGAAGCAATAAAATAGATCCACCTTACGGAGCTGTCACAATCCAATTTCCCTATAGGTCGTGATAACGCCCAACGCCGCCGTTAGGTGAGTCAACGCGGAACTAGTCATGTACGTATTCTTTTTAATAATTTCAAAGTAGTTGATTTTTATTTATTAAGTAAGTGATAAGTGAAAACAAAAAATTTAATAAGGTAAAGCGTGAGCAGATACGATGAAATAAATACTCAAAACCATAAAGTGTCTACTAGCATGTTTTCAAGACCCGATGTCACAAGTGTATGAGCAACTAGTAGAATATACAAAACACCTCGCTACTGTCTAAAATGAGATAGACAGAAAGTAAATACAAAGGAGAGACTACGGGTGCAGCAGAACGGACTCAGAAAGCAGCTCACCACTATGCCTCGGGGTAATGGAAGTGCGCGCCTGGATGACTGTCAGATGCACCTGCCTCAGATCCTGCACGATTAGTGCAGAAGTGTAGCGTGAGTACATAAATAGCATGTACCCAGTAAGTATCCAGTCTAATCTAGAAGAAGTAGTGATGAGGGGTCGACATCGACACTTACTACGGGCCAATAATATAAATACAAAAATTTTACATAGGCATGGAATACATGAATAATAAAATAACACAATAACCAGCAATGAATAAATGGTTCTTTAACTGATAGTCAATTTAAAAGTCTCCAATTGACACATGCTAACTTCAACAATTTCAGGCCATTAAATAAATTATAACTTCTCAAGTCATAAAAATAATATCAAGTGTATTCGGATTTCGAGTATTATCACGCA